ATCTAAAAATGCAGAAAGTTTCCTGTGAGGGGTAGGGTGTGGTGGGGGGTTGGTGTGTGTGTGTGTGTGAGTGTGTGTGAGTGCACGTGAGTGTGACTGCGTGTGAGTGCACGTGAGTGTGATTGTGTGAGTGTATATGTGTGTGTGTGTGTGTGTGTGTGTGTGGTGTGAGTGTGTGGTGTGAGTGTGTGGTGTGTGTGTGTGTGTGTGTGTGTGAGTATGTGTGACTTTGTGTGAGTGCATGTGAGTGTGAGAGCGTTCTTGTGAGCATGTGTGTGAGTGCGAGTGTGTGTTTTGTAATGGCGGATGCTGTCACACTACGAACAGCTCAAACATCCTGATGATATACCATTTCTGGAGAAACTGGGACACTTGAGCAGGTCTGAGCTCACACACTGACACATACAAACACACACACACACACACTCACTCACTCAAGTGTGTGCGCTCAATCAGTGATCAGTAATAATCTGCTCATAATCTCCAGCAGACAGTCAGGAGCGAGTTTGAACCATCTGACTTACTTTTTCTGCCTCATTTCTTTATTCATAGTTCCAGTTTAACGTAATTGAAATGGTAGTTGATTGAATTATGCATTATGCATACATTGGATGAATAATGCATCATGTTATGAATATTTGATCCATGCTCATTTCTGACAGCAGACAGACTAATTGTGCTCATATGCATATTCAGATGTCGCTCTGCTATCTGTCTGCTGTAACACACAACATTAATCACACCTGCAGCACACGTGTGTGACCTCCCTAGCAACCACCTAGCAACTCCCTAGCAACAACCCAGAAATGCCCAAGCGACCCCCAGAATCCAGTGGATGTTATCTGTTGTCTGAGAGCCAGTGCTCAGTGTGTGACTGTGTGAATTCTCCAGCGGGAAACTGCAGCTATATTTAGAGTGGCAGGTTTGACTGGATTACAGAAGGGCCAGGCAGCAGGGGTCCATAAGCAGCCAATCACCTCAATTCTACAGTTTGGGTCCAAACCAGAGAAAAGAACAGCAGCTACAGCCTATAAGCGAAAAAACACTGCATCTAAATCTCATGTTTAAGTTTGAATATCTGTCTGTGTGTCTGTCTGTATGACTAATTTAGTCTGCTCTCTGTCTCTCCATCTGTTTCCAGCTGGTATTAACATCTGTTCAGAGACAGACAGGTGTGAATCACGTACAAAACACTGATCTGATCACTGAAACACACAGTCAGTCAGAAGCATCACTGGACACATGCCTGGTCACCTGTCAATCACCCGCTGCACTAAAACCGCTTACATGCAGCTTAAATTGAACAGAATATTCATAATTTGAAAAACACAAAAAACGTATACACACTCAAGACTTCACAGAATCATCAGAATGTCTGACATCGACAAGTGCATCTCAACTTCACCGAAATAATAGTGAGCTGAGCTGGACACAACACACTTGAGCTCAGATGAACTTTTGGGAAAAACTTTTTGCTGTTTTGAAAGTTTGGGGTCACTGTAATTTTTTTATACTTTTATTCATCAAGAATGCATTAAATTGATCAAAAGTGACATTTCTATAATGTTACAAAAGATTTCTATTTCAAATAAATGCGGTTCTTTTGAACTTTCTATTCATCTGTGAATCCTGAA